CATGACCCTGCACCGAGCCCTGCTGCACCCCTGCTGCTCTGCCTCTGCACGCTACAGCAGCTCTAGACAAATTAGCATTAATATTGATTGACAGAACAAGGCTTTTTTATTATTTTTATCATTATTTTTATCTTTTATTCGGGTATATATATAGAGAAAAATCAGATTGAAAGGGGGGTTCTGTTTTTTTTGTTTGAAGCTGGGTAGTCGGAGCTGGCAATAAGGGGAAGAGGGTCTCGAAATTCCAGAGCTCATCTAAGGAGACTGTGCATTCTCGGGTCTATTCTCTCCCTGTCTTAGGTAAAAAAAAAAAAATAATCCCTTTAAGAATCCTCCATTTTATATCTTTGTGATTTGTTTGTTGAAGTCTCTTTCTTGGTTTTGATGTTAGATTTGTGTATGTTTGCTGGAAATGAATGAAAAATCAAGGAATGATTCAGTTAAAAAGAACTTTCTTTATCTGATGCTAAGTTGCATGTGTTTACTGGAGAATGAATGAAAGTCTTTCTTATTATTATTATTTTTTTTTCTGTTTGATGAAAATGCATTTTTTTTCTTTTTCTCTGTTCTGCGAAATGTGTTTATTTTTGTGATGAAATCCTTTAGAATGATCATGAACTTTAATTGTAAGTATTTTTTTTTTGTTTTGCGTTCGATCTGTTTCTGTCCATTTAGGTTAGTGGGTTTGTGTTTTTTTTTTATTGGGTCAATCCGACCCAGGGCAGTAAAAAAAAAACTAAAACAAAAAAATTTATATAATATAAATAAAAAGGATTAATTAATTAAGATGATTAATTTAATTTATGATTAATAATATTAATTAACTTTAATTAAAATAAATTAATCATGTTTATTTATCTTAGTTTAAGATGATTATATTATTTAATTGTCTTGATTAAAGATTTATAAATATGATTAATTAATTTTAATTAATTTTAATTAATGTTAATTATTTAATTGAGTTAATTATCATAATTAATTAATTTAAATCCTTAATTTCCTTTAATGTTGATCAAAGTCAAAAGTATCTTTGTTTATTTCAATTTCACCAAGAACTTTCATGGTTAAGCAATTTAATCCATGAGTCTCAACTCTTTTCAAATCAATCCTTCATGTTTTAAATTTAGTCAAATCAATCCCTTATGTTTTTCTGGATTTAATCAAACTGGACCCTTTTAATTTCTACTTGTGTTTATTGTGCATGCATGTTCTTGATTTTGTTTCATTCAGTCCAAAAATTAAAAAGTGTTTCAATTTGGTTTATCCTTTTTTTTGACTCAACATAAACATGATGAATAAGTTGAATTAAAACCCCCAATGTTAAAGTATGCAACCGTGTTTAAATGGAGGATTGTGAGGTACGCGTATGCCGTTCTTCACTCCTAACCGAACCCCCGAACCCCGATCTCTGCGCAGACCTATTTTTAGGTGACTTGTCTCACCTTATAATTTGGACGAGTGGCGACTCCTTTTCTCTTTTATATTCTTCACACTTGATTTTCAATTTATTTTGAAAAAATCTTAAGTGGTCGTCAACACCTGCAAAGCCCCGAGGTGGAACTCGGGGTAGACACTCCGATACTTAAGTTAGTAATAATCGGGGTTACCTTTAGGGCAGAGATAAGAAAAGCCTAAGGTTGGTTTCAATTACCTTTTGACGTGGCCCGGAGGGGGTATTTATAGGATTCAATGAGGAACCCACGTGGCATGCCAAGCAAGATAGTCGGAGCCTGACGTGTCTATCCAAACGATTATTCCGGGACTGGGAATTTGAGGGGTATTCAGATGCACGGGTGTCCACCGTTTCTGCTGTGCCGCTCATCATAAAGAATCAGGTGTGGACATGTTTATTATCATTATCATGCAGCTATTTGAGCGGGAAGCTTCAGATTCATTCCTCACTTCGGTCATAAAGAAATTACTGTAGCAGTCCGAGGTTTGACACCTCGGACCTGTCCTTACAGGACGAAAATTGGGGACCGTTTATAATTGTCTGCCATTTTCGTTATGTTTTTTGTTTTATCTGAATTAAAATATTTTTTAAATGTAATGTTTAAATATTAAATTAAAAATTAGAT